GACTCATTACTGATATGGAGCTTCTCAGTCTCTGGAGTGGTTTCCCTTCCTCTTGGAAGGAAGGCCCCATGCAAGTGCATCCCTCGAGCCTGAGTGCTACTCTCTGGAGTGGGATTTGTGCCCCTGGCATAAACTCTAAGAGTAATCATGGTTCAAGTCTTGTGATTTCTGGTTCTTAGGATGATAGCATCCACCAGGAGAATTCATATGAACTCTGCATGTTTCCTAAAACCAGTCTGTCCCACAATCATTCACCATGGCCAGAGACCAAACTTTTTTCAGAGACTCTAGACTTACCCATAGGGAACAAGCTAGAAACTCAATACATTTTACTTATTACCAGTAATATCATTCTCATACACAAAGGATAATACCTTTCTGTCTGTTGGCCCACCTACGTAGCACAAACTGTTTGTAATTTAAAATTTTTCATTTGCTGAAAGTATTCTCATTAGAATCATTATTTTCCATGTAAAATTTTCAATGACGTCTTATTGTGTTGATCAAATTTTTTAATTCATGTCAACCAATTATAACATCTGCAATTGGAAATTTACTTTAATAGACATTATATCTACCAAGTCCAATTATTCTAAATCAAATTTTGCAAATAGGAATTTTATCAAAAAATTGCTTTTTAGTCAATAACAAATTTTTATGTGTAATTTTTTTATTTTGTAATTGTATTAATTCATTATAAATCAGATAAAAGAAAACAGCTTATATTTATCTTTTAGCAATTCATGAGAAAATAGTGAGCTGTTTTGGGATTGCACTGTAAAGGCTCACACTACTGTTCTGCTCATGCAGTTCCTCTGCCTATGTCTCTGTCACTTTGGCTGTTGCATTCTAAAGTGCTCTTTCTGTTCTTGGAGCACAGAAAGAAAGCAAATGGCAGGGCCAAAATGCTTTGCTTTGCTCCAAACACATCAATATTATGGGGGAAAAGGTAGGGGTGTTTTTTAAAAAGTGCCTTTTGCTTTCGTTCCCCCAATTCCCAACCCTCCATTTTCTCTTTCCCTTCTTTAAACTTTTCACCTCTTTCATATTCTCTGACTCATCATTTAATTATTCTGCCACTTCTCTCTCCCACTTCTCTCTTGACCTAGTCCTCTTTCTGCCTGCTTTGGTCTTTCCTTCTCTCTCCCACTCCCTGTTGGTCTCACTCATTGTCCCTCACACTCCCCTCTAAGGCTTGTGGTGTACTTTCCCCTCTCAGTTGCTTTCTTCTGTTGCCCCACTCCCATGTTGTTCCAAGAGTTGCTCATCAGAGTCCTCAATGTCATGATTATAAAAGCTCAGAGAGAACTTCTTCCCCTGCTGCTCAGCATTCCACCAGGATCAAGTAACCAAGAGAGGCTGTGAACCTATGCTCCTTGTATTGCTTTAAAAGCAACAGTGAGAGGGCCGGCCCGGTGGCACACTGCTACAGTGCGCCACTTGGGAGCGCAGCGGCGCTCCCGCCGAGGGTTCGGATCCCATATACAGACCAGCTGCTCACTGGCTGAGTGAGGTGTGGGCGCAACACTGAGGGTTGCGATCTGTTGCCAGTCACGAAAAAAGACAAAAAAAGGGAAAAAAAAAAAAAAAAGCAACACTGAGGGCGGCCTGCTCATGTGGGCTTGATTTTATGGATCTGTCTGAAGACAGAGGGATGGATGATATGATCTCAGGAGGGCCCTGCCAGATCAAGGAACCTGGGTTCCTCCTCTCAATCATCATCAACTTAGATTTATTGGACACCCCCTGGATGGTTGGAGCTGTACTAATTGATTTCATCCTTCAAATCTTGAAATCCAGTATCTGCCTTTTTGGCACTGTTTAAAATATTATAATATTGGGCTGAGTTTTTACAAGCTTTTGTTATTCTTTCTGTTATTACTACAAATTATGTTTTAAAAAATTAAAGTTAGAAGATTTAGTAATGGTATTCAGATTGTCCTTCATTTATTTTAGTATCCTACAGATTTCTATGATCCTATAGAGTTCCACTATATATAAGTTCCTCCCTAGCTAATGTGAGATCTGAGGGCACACTGAAAAGTGGGGTAAGATAATACTCATGGGGAGGATGTCCTACAGGCACCGGAGCTGGGATGGGGCAGAGTCGTGGTGAATATTTTAGGAGAGGCTTGGGAAAGGAAGGGACAGAGATGGAAAGAGAAAGAGGGAGAGGGAGAGAGAGCACACACATGAGAGCTTGGAAGTACTTTCTTTTATTTAGTCAACATGTATTTATTAAGCGCCTAAGTGCAGGTAATTTTCAAGATGCTGAAGATACAGCAGTGAATAAAAAATATTCAGCCTTCATGAAGCTTATATTCTGGTAGGAAGAGATACCAATAAAATAAATGAATAAAGTTTGTGGCGTGTACTGTAGCAACAAATAGATCAGAGAAGGGAGACAGGGAGTATTGGGAGTTTAATTTTAAAAGGATGAACAGAAAAGGTCTTAATGATAAAGAAAAGACCTGAAGGAGGTAGGGAATGAGCCAATGCAAAGATCTAGGTGAGATTCCAAAGAGAGGGAAGAACAATGTGGGGAGGGGAGGGGAAGGTAAGGGTAGAAGCCAGGAAACCGGTCAGGAGAAGATGTCAGTCAGAGGTCAGAGGTGATGGTGACTTGGACTAATTGGAAGCAGAGGAGGTGGCAAGAAGGGGTCAGGTTGTAGGTGTATTTTAAAGGCAGCGTCACTTAAAGGATTTGCAGGTGGAGTGGACATGGGTTGTGACAGAAAGGAGTGCAGGATGGAGTCAGAGTTTGGTTTGAACACAGGGAGGATGGAGTTACCATTAACTGAGATGGGGAGGACGTGAGTAAAGATGGCAAAGAGCTGGTTTGGGGGGGAAGATCAGGAGTTCAGTTTGGGACGTGTTAAGTTTGAGTTCTGTGGAAGTGGGAAAATATTAATTATTTTTATTATGAATTAAACAAAGGATGAAATCAAGGATGTGGCTTTTGCAGAAAACAAAATGGATTTGGCTAGGGATGAGATAAGGAGAAAGCATGGGATGTTGAGAGGTGAGTATTAGGAGGAGCACGTTATCTACAGACAGTATACTTCTGTAGACAGCATGTGATGCTCGGTGCCGGTGAAGCTTGGGCAAACTGCTAAAAAGAGAACAAAGAGCATTTGCTGGTGAAAAGCAACGCGTAGGAGTAACATGGGAAGACTAGGGCTGTGGACAGAGGCTGAGAATTCTGGCCACTAAGGAAAATATCACGGTGGCTCTTGAGGAAAAGGAGCAGGTATAGACTGCACCAGTGAGGGGAAAAGAGGAGACTCTGGGAACAAGGAAGGGGGTTAAAAGTTGCTGGGCTTGTCCTGGAGGCTGTAGAGAAGTTCTTGCTGGTGCACAGGCAGAGGGGGAGGTGTTGGGGAGAAGACAGTCAGGAAGCTCTGATTGCTGGGAGTTGTTCTATCCATGTACACACATACCCTTTTTCTCTTATAAACCACTTCACCATACCCTGAATTTATTTTTACTTTGAGTTGTATGCTCATCTTCCAAGTGTGTTTATGAGTGTACACGCAATATATCGTAGATACAGATAGGTACACTTCCACGGATATTTATAAAGTCCTCCCTGCCTCTCTTGGGAAGGAGCTGACTACTCAGTTTACAGATTATCCATTTTCTCTTGTTCGCTTTTCTATTGGTTGGTTGTCTTTTTGACTTTTTGTTGTTTCACTGCTTTTTGGTCCTTTGGGCAGAAAACAAGGGAGTTTTTAAAACTCAAACACTGGAAACATTTGTAATACATTATTTGCAGTTCTGACAAAAACATCAGTGGATAAGAAGATTAAAACCAATGGTTGAATTAAATTTTAGAATTATGTGTGGATTAAAATGATCTGTAATCTACTGAGTCAAAACTTCTTTTTCACCATTTCCTTCTTTTTATTTTCCTTTGTTGTACTTCCAGTTGTTCCTCCTCCTTCTCCCATATTCCCTCCAGTCCTCCCAGCTGACATCAAGTTTAGGGTCCTCAGGATTCTGAACTTGAGCAGACAGCAACTGTGCTGCTCAGGTAACCTCGGCCAGGAAAAAGGGAAGATGGGAAAGAGATGATGTCACTTTAAAAGTATGGATAAGGATTGAAAGGGGATTAAGGGGGTTAAGTAACTGGGGGAAAAATCTGGCCGCAAACAAGGCGCCATGTAGCTGGGAGCACCAACTCTGGGCTGGGTGGTCTGGTTAAGGAGAGTTGGGAAGGAGGCTGGTGAGGAAATCTCTGACTCCCAGGTCCTTTGATAACATTTCTTGGACCCAGATTAGGGGTGGGGGTGGGAGTGGATCAGATGACACTGAAGGTTCCATCTGGAAATGAGATTCTATGACTCTAGATCTAGTGAAGAGGGAAAGAAAGAGAAAACAGAATAAAGGTTACGAGATAGCTCTTGCCCACTGAGCCAGACGAGAATTCTGGCCCAGGAGACTAACAAAGGCGGACAGCCCTGATCTCTCCTCCCCTCTCTTTCTTGTAAAAGTCAGTTGTCCTACCGTGCTCCACTCCTCCACACAGTAGCTTTGGAATGATCCTAAGCCAGGTCCCACACCACTTCATCTGGGACCCGAGGCCGCAAGGTCAGGGTTTGGAGGATGGTGTGCAAGTGAAATGCTGGGCCCTTGGTCTCTGGGTTTGGAGAAAGCTGGGGAGGTGGTGGGTAGGGAGAATATATGGGGTGGTGGGAAAGTTGAGGGGTCATTGTCCATACAGTTATTGCCTCTCCCACATTTCTGTAGTGAAATCTGTGCTGGTTAATACCTTTCTTCCCATTTCTTTGTTTTCCCTAAACCTCTTCCCCATCCACCACCCTGGTTATACCATCCTTCTGTCTCCTCTCCCTCCCCATCTCATCCTTTCCATGTCTCTATCTCTTCCTGTTGTCATCCCCACTCCCCCACCATTCCTGGCTATGGTTCCATGTGCCTCCTTCAAACTATCTTTTCCTTGCCTTCTCCCTCCCCATCCATTGGTTTTTCACTCCCCACAGCAGAGGGGAAGGTGTACAGCTCAGATGAGGAGAAGCTGGAGGCAACATCAGGAGACCCAGCAGGCAGCGAACAGGAGGAAGAGGGCTCGGGCGGTGACAGCGAGGACGACGGTTTCCTGGACAGTTCTACAGGGGGATCGGGGGCTCTTCTGGGACCTAAGCCGAAGCTAAAGGGAAGCCTGGGGACTGGAGCTGAGGAGGGGGCACCAGTGGCAACAGGGGTCACAGCTCCTGGGGGGAAAAGCCGAAGGCGCCGCACAGCATTTACCAGTGAGCAGCTTTTGGAATTGGAGAAGGAGTTTCATTGCAAGAAATACCTGAGCTTGACAGAGCGTTCCCAGATCGCCCACGCCCTCAAGCTCAGTGAGGTGCAGGTCAAGATCTGGTTTCAGAACCGACGGGCCAAGTGGAAGCGCATCAAAGCTGGCAATGTGAGCAGCCGTTCTGGGGAGCCTGTAAGAAACCCCAAGATTGTTGTGCCCATCCCTGTGCATGTCAACAGGTTTGCTGTGCGGAGCCAGCACCAACAAATGGAGCAGGGAGCCCGGCCCTGAATGGGCTCCCAAGGACGTAGGAAGGCAAAGGGTCTGTACCTGAGTCTGCTCTGAGACCGGCGTAGGGTTCTGTGGACCAGAGGGGCTACATCTGTGATTCTGCTCTGGGAGAGGGGCTCAGCTACCAGTAAACCTAGCTCTAGGTGTGCCCCCCAGACCCCCCTCCCAAACTTGAGATGTAGGCACTTGGCCCTGAGCTTATTCCAGAGACCTTCAGGACTAGGGGCTTCAGGGTTAAAGGGGCTTGGGTTCTAATTGCTGAGGAGCTGTTGGGACTGAGGTGGACTCCTGGGGAGGGGATGGGGATATATAATGCCTTGGGCCTGAACGGTTCTGTGGCTAATCCCCTAAAACAGCCTCTGATGAGTGTGGAGGAATCCAGGGTGATACCCAGCCAAGTAGGTCACAGCTCCTTATTTATTTTATGTAAAGTTTGTATATATGGAGCTATCTGTCTCTGTCTGCACCCCTGAGAGGGATTGGGAAAGTTCTGTTTCCTCAATCTTCAGCCACAGTTTGTTCCATCCTACTGCTCTGGGGTGGGACCATCTTGCCTTTCTAGTACACGGACATGCAAAGAAATGAAATGGAAGTCACTAGCCTCAGTAGGAATTCTTCAGCACTCCCTTCTCCCCCCATGTAAACTACCTCCACTCCTGTGCATTTCCACTTGGTACTGCCCGCTGCTCCTGCCTGTATGCCTCATGCTCCTAACATGCCACTTCTGCTCCCTCTGCCCATTAAACAGGCAAAAGTCTTCATTTCTGCTTTCTCTTCTTTGGAAGAGTTGGTAGACTTCAGGGTAGAAATTCATTCCCTTTTGTATTGTGAAGGGAAATAAAGTACTTGACTCTAGTTTAGCTGGGGTATGTCCAGGTCATCTAACTAGGTAGAGCTCACTCACATCACCTGTGAGTTCGTTAATAAATTTCCTATTCAGAGGACCCAGTAGCTTAGTCCATTTCTGCCATTTCTTGATACTCCAGATGCAAGGATCTGGGGGAAAAGACCCATTTCCAGTTTTCTGCTCTTATGGCATTAATTGTGGTCTCTCCTCCCCATTGTACTGTTTTTGAAGCTTGGGATACCACAACCTATTGCTGCAGAATGAGATTGGTTGAGGGGGCCACTGCAAAGTGGATGGGACAGGAATGAATCTGTCTGGGGGAAAAGACCCATTTCCAGTTTTCTGCTCTTATGGCATTAATTGTGGTCTCTCTTCCCCATTGTACTGTTTTTGAAGCTTGGGATACCACAACCTCTTGCTGCAGAATGAGATTGGTTGAGGGGGCCACTGCAAAGTGGATGGGACAGGAATGAATCTGTGATGGTTCTTCAAGGGTGTGTACTGTGGGGAGGTTACAGAGACTGGAGATAGATAGAGACTTTGGGATTGGAATTCCATGAGCAAATTAAGGAACAGCATTAGTGGACAAAATACATACGGGGAGGAGGGTTCTAAAATACATTTGCATAGACATCGGGTAAAGGGGATTACAGAAACCTGTTGAAGTTGGTATCGTGGTAACTGGGCTTCTTGGGAAGAAATGTGACCTGTATTGATATGGGTGAGGGGTTATAGTAGAGAACAGAGCCATCAAAAAGAAAAACGGGCAGGCTATGAATGAGGCAAGAAAACTCAGGAAATTAAGGTGCTGAGGTCAGGGAAGTACAGCTTAGTCATATACCTAGCCAGCATCCTTACCTTCCTAAGAGGGCAAATTTATGGTTATTCCTGATTCCTGGAATGGTAAACTAGTCAACATCTTATTCACCCAAACATTTGTTGAACACCTCTTACAACGTGACCTGGCATTTCATTTCTCCCACCTGGTTTTGGCAACCAAACAAAGCAACCTGGAATGGTGACTGGTCATGAACAACAGTGTCACAGTTCTCCAGCTAGGACAAACAGATGCAGGGCAGGTCTTCTCTATTCTTTGGCTAAATTTCAGCAGGGCTTGAGAATTAGGGTAAAAATATGTAGTTCAGGCCAGCCCTGTTCTCAGACTGGTCTAGATAGATCAAGCCGAGTCTTTCTGATACCTTAGATTCAGCATACACAGGGAACCTATGGGGTTAGATTCTTTTTAGGAAATAAGCCAGGCCGAGGTTGAAGATCACAGGAGCTATTGTCATTTCAGCAGGGCTGCAAGAGAAACTTTGTGGCTCCATGTCCCCTGTAGTAGAGGGTGAGTGAGCACCTGGGCAGAAAAGCTGAGGAGAACCAGCTGGAACCAAGACCCTGATCTCCTATTTTCTGGTGTTATCTGTGAAGCCTCCTAAACTGTACCAAGCAGCGTTCAGCCAGCCCAATCAGCCTTTTTCCCTTAGGAAATCTGGAGGTGATTATTGCTAGTGTTTTCTGAGCCCAAGAACACAGTCCTACACATACCCATGGCCCTGTCCCTATTCTGCCCTTATCTACATGTAAGGCTCTTATCAGCCTTACAAAAGGGGCTGTGGACCAAAACAAATAAAATCCAGTTTCCTCTCTGAAGTGTTACTTGGTTATTTACCTCCATGTAGGCAGGTACCCGTGCACACAGCACCAGCCCACCACACTCAACACATACTCGATGTGTTTTAGAAAACAACGGCTGCCAGCAAAGTGGTTCCAGTAATGGGGAAGCAACAGGCTCCTCAGAGAGCAAGGACCCTAACTGACTGAGTTCTCAACCTTCAGGAACCAATATAGAAGGGGAACACCCCCAGGTCTTCTTTCTAGAATAACTGAGGGATACAGTCCAAAGGAAAAATGGGGGCTTGGCTTGGCAAGATGTTGGTGAGACTTCAAGTGGCCGTTCTGCTGTCAGTGACCTACCTCCTTCCCATTCTTCACAAGCAAAGCCTAGGCATGAGTCCATCTGCATTGTAATGCTCTGTCCAGAGAGAAGTGCTGCCTAATGACTGTCTAGCAGCATATCCCGTGGCATCCTCAAAGTTCTCCTGTGTGTCAACTCGAGCATCTCCCTGTACATCTGGCTGTGTGGGCTAGTTCCCAGACTCCTAGGAAGAGGGGCAATGCTTATGCCCTCTCTTCAGCTGCACTTTGGCCAGTACAGGGTGTGGTATGAGGTTACTAGACAGAATACTGACAACAACAGGGAGACTAGCTAGAAAAACTTTCAGAAGGTGGGGGAATGAAGTGGAGAAGACAGCACCCAGAAGGAAACAAAGAGCTCTGTCTCCTCTCATCAGGGTTCACTGTGCTGTGCTGCTTATAAATGCAACTACACCCCTGCCAAGGGAAGGCTAAAAGAAATCAACCCAAGTAGGAGGCTGAGGAAAAACAACCTGGGACCCAGGCTAACTGAGAAGAAAGAAAATCTAAAGGACAAAAAAGTAGAGACGAGGGGCATTCTTGGAAAGGCAGAGATATAAAAGGGGAAAACAAGGCCACACACGTAGTCTGATTTATTGGCTCATCATACACACACACCAAATATGTACACAAACATAAATATTCCAATGTACAAATTTTACATGGGACTCACAGATCACCCCCTTGTCCCTTCAATCCAGCACCCCCAATCTGTGCCCTGTCCTCCATTTTATAATGAAGGCTTGCAGGGGGCTAACACTAGGAGGAGAGATGTTGAGGAGGGAGAGGTCCTGCTCCCCTCTCCTCACAGGCACCTCCAAAGGGTCCTATCCCTTTTCAATGGCACCTTAGGGCAGAGGGCTAAATACCTCACTCCCTCTCTCTGCTGCAGCTCAGATCCCAAACCTCTCCTCAGATCCCTTGGACTCTCCTCCCTAATTTCCTCTTCTTCCTCTCTGCATGTCACCTGTTCTCCATCTCTGTGTCCATTTCCCCCAGCACCTATAGAGAGAAAGGTCCCCAGGTCTGGAATCCTTCTGGTCCCTCTTCCCTCTTCCTGGGCCTTATAGGAGGCTAGGACTGCGATGCAGCTCAGCAGAGGGGTTGGTGCCATTGGCAGGCTCTCTGTTAGTGGTAGGTGCCAAGCCACAGCCCTCCCCAGGGCAGCCATGCTGGATCAAGATGTCTGCACACTCCTGGCTGCCAGCCCGGCGAGCATAGGCCAGCGGGGTCAGGCCCCGGGCATCCCGGCTCCTCACGTCCACCCCATACTGCAGGAGAAAGCACATTTTCACAGATGGCTTGACATGGGAGGAAATAAATCAGGTCTGAGGGAGAAAAAGGAAAGGTAGCTTTCAAAGGGCTAGGGTAAAAAGGGTGGGGTCAAGATGGGTCAGAGGTGCCCCAGACTCACCCAGATGAGCAGCTGTGTGAAGACGACATTGGCCATGGCACTGGAGAGATGCAGAGCTGTCCGCCCATCCCCATCCCCATAGGTCTCATTCACCTCCTCCTTTGACCCATGTGCCAGAAGCATCACCAGCAACCGCAGGTCATCCTCCACCACAGCCCGGAGCAGCTGCTGCCCCAGCGGCACGTCCGAGCTTGGCAGTGGGGCCAGGAAGAGCTTCTGCTCATACTTGGCCTGTATCCAGCGCTCCTTCTCCTCTCTGCAAATAGGTCCATCAAGGCATGAGCCCAGGAAGGACACAGAGCCAATGGGTGGGGCCAGGGAGGTGGTCAGGAAAGGAAACAGGCACCCAGAGGAGAGATAAGGAAGAAATAGTGAGACGGGGCAGACAGAACAGAGAAGCCTAAGAAAGTCCAGGGCACACAGAGGGGCTGGGGGTAACCTAAAGGGAAAGGGAGCTGAAGGGAAGGGACACTGAAGAGAGACCCCTTGGGGGCAGCAGGGATGTGGGGGCTGAGAGGGCAGGAAGATTTCAGGCAGGCCTGTGTGGCAGCTTATCTGGCTGTCTGAACTTTCTCCAATTGGCAGCACTGGAACAAAGCAGGTGGGGGCTTGCGCTGGGGGGCCATGCACTACCCTATCTACCACCCATTTTCCCCATCTCAGAGCTCAGGCTAGGGGGCTCTGCACCACACGGCGATAGGGGCCCTGCGCATGCGCCGCCTGCTGGCCCCCTGACCTGCTGATAACGGCTCAGAAAGAGCCCGTTGTTGTAAGGCGCCTGAGTGACAGGCACTGGAGGAGGAGGGGCACCCCCAAGGGGCCAACAGCCAAGCAGAGCAACGGCTAGTTTTAACCCTTCTAACACTGTCAGGCGCTCGGCACCATCCCCAATCTTCCCCATACTGGGAGCCCCAGATATCCCCTCCCTTCTTGGCCAACTTCAGGTCCACCATCCACTCACCTGCAGGCTTCAGGCCCTGGCTTTGCATAGCCATCCAGGGCCCCCTCCCAGACACTGTTAGCGAGGGCATTGCCCATCGCAGTCATGACAGCCAGCAGCTCAGGTGGCCAGTCGTCGAGGTCAAGGGAGCGAACCCGGGACAGGTGAGCCCCCAAATGTCGGTGGATCCCTGAGCACTCGATGCACATCAGGGCACCCAGGTTTAGGCTGGCCCAGTCTGGACCTAGTTGAGGAGAGGAAAAATGATGCAGCAGGCAGGCTACCAGAGAGTGGGACAACTAGGAAAGTCCTCCTTCCTGCCCTCTTCCCCACCTCTTGATGCTCGCAAAACTTTCCTACACCCATCCCAGACCCTAGTCCCACCACTCACTGGGTGCATCACAGTCGATACAGAAGCTGTTGCCACGAACGGTGCGGACAGCCTGCACAGCCAGAGCTGCATTCTGATTCCCCAGTCGAGTCTGCCACGTGGTGGGAGAGACAAGAAGTGGCTGGTCAGTCACAAGGCCTCTTTCAGTCCCACCCCAGCCACATGCTACATGTGGGCCCAGCCACTCCATGCCAACCTTGTCCTTGGCGCTGCGGCAGCCCTGCAGGCTGGCGAGGATCTGGGCCTGCACACTCTGTACCCACAGCTCCCGCTCCTCTGCTGTTGAGGCTTCAAAGTGCCATGTCTGCCCGGTAAGGGACACCACCACAAACTCGAATGACTCTTCTGTCTCTGTGGTGGGGGGGACATTTATACCATCAGGGCTCCTCGTGACACACTCTCCCAGGGACACGCCATCACCATGATTCCACTCACTACCCTCACTGGCACTCATTGTCCCCCCCCCCAGTCTTCCTATGTGGCCTCCAGGGCCACACTCTCCAAGACAATTTGCAAGGGAGAAAGCAGAGTAAACTTGCAAGACTAATGTGAGCTCTCAAACCTCCATTCCTAACCACCTGTGGAGCCTGGTGAAAAAAGATTTGGGATAAAAGGTCTTGGCATCCCTGAACTGCCAGGAATGGCCTGGAAACCAGAAAGGGGTGCTTCCTGGAAAAGAAGAGCTGAGTGTCTGGAAAAGGATGAGATAGGGTGCTAGGAGGCAAATCCTGGGAGAGGGTGGAGGTAGGCGGTTGTGGGCACCATCCGTACATGTCAGCTGCAGCCGCCTCATTTTGCAGCTCATTAAACCCAATATTCCTGACGGCGTCAGCATGGGACTCCTGGGAGCTGGGCCCCTCCCCCACTACCCTGGCACAGACAGGCAGGAAGGGCAAGTGGATGGGGGAGAGGAAGAGAGGTTTTATCCAGGCACTGGAGTCTGAGCAAATAGGGACCTGAGGACATCTGTAATGACAAGCACTGAGGGCTGGACTATGACCCCAAGCAGTGTGGTGAAGTTCTTCCAAGCTTTGCACCCCCAGGCCTTCAGAAGACAGCCACATGAATCTCATTCCAATGGTCACTGCCTTATGGGTGAGCAATTCCTAACAAGCAGTGTGACTGCATCATGGAGGCTAGAAAGACAGCACAGGTCCCTGTGGGGAGGCACCAGAGCCAGCCACATGTTCTGCTGAGCCCTTTCTGCTTGTAAACCCTCAGTGCATCTCTTCCCCCGGCAGCCTCTCATCTCTCTGCCACCAACATCCCCTGGAAGTCCTCCTCTGCTGGACTCCTGCTGTTGGGAACCCTTAAGAGAGCTGCCTTCCCATATAACTAAAAGTTATGTGTACCCCAGGCACCACCACTGTGCCTCACCTTGCTTTCAACCCCAGCCTGTGGACTATGCAAACTCCTTGATCATTTGTGGGCCTCAATTCCCTGAACAACAGGGGTACCCTGTGCCATTAACACTAAGCATCACTGTGTCACAGGCAGGCTGGAAAAGGAGATCTCCGCCCCACCTGCCCCACACCCCTAACCCTGACAATTAGAGCAGAAATGAGAAATTATGAGTCTATAGAAGTTAAATTTATTTAGGAGCAAAGAGACTCCAATCACTGAGAGGAGGGAGGTTTTGAAGATACTTTGGGGAAAATCAGAGAAGGAGCACCATAAATAATAAAAGATTATGAGAAAGGTCCTATGGAAGAACTTTAAAGGACCTGGAATTCCACAGTCTAAGGAAAACTAAGGAGAGACTCAGCCAAACTGTACACATATATTAAGCACCTATTATGTACCCAGGGCTCATTAAATTCAATGGATGATACAAGAGTCACAGAAAACATAGGTCCTCCTCACAAGTTTTGGAAGAGCTACTGCAGTAGTAGCCTGCTTTTACCTTCTTTAAGAATAAAAGAAGTAAGCTCACATTTCAACAGAAAGGATTTCAGTTAATAGTATCTTAGAAGAGTTCTTTTTTCTGAGTCTAAATTACCAAAAGAAGTTGTGGAACTACTTTTATTAGAAATTGTTATTAGACAGGGCTTAATCCATTAATACGGAAAAAAAGGGTGTTACTTTTAAGGTGCTGTCACCAAGTCCCATTGCCCACCTCCTGTGCCCGGTTTCCCCCTGGGTCCCCCTAACCTTCAGCAACACTGCTGGGGACATCTGGTCGGGGGGTCCCGGTGCTCTTTTTCCGCCGGTGCTTCTTCCGGTTGGAGTGGGGAGATGGGGGAGGCTCCAGCTTGGGGCTGGAACTGAGCACCTCAGCTGGGCCACTGGCTGGGGAGGGGAGAGTTAAGAAGTGTGGGAACAGGGGAGGCAGAGGAGGGGGCGGTGCAGGGCACAGGGAGGAAAGGACCAGTCCTGCCAACAGTAGCTGGGCCACACCCAGGGGAGCCAGACCTACACCGTCTCCAGGCCAAGGGTCTGCCCAGGCTTCCCAGTCCCAAAGCTCACCAGCCTTGAAGGAGGAGAATGTGGAGAGAGGGAGTAGGAAACTCAGGCAGAGCAGGAGAAAGGCAAAGGGAGGAAACCGCTTCTGCAGCCTGGAGGGGTGGAAGGCGGCCCAGGGAACTCACAGGGAGCTGAAGCCCCAGCAGCTCAGCACCAAATTTATCCTCAATCACACTCCCCGCTCCTCACAATTAATAGCAGAATTAGAAACAATCAGGGAGCTGCCTAATTACTGTCAATTAGAGCGCGCTAATCAAGCTCCGTCTCCCACACCCCGCCCGGCGCTCACCACTAAATGTCAAACTTCATTAGAGGCAGACACGCTCCCTCCCTCCCCGCCTTCCTCCTTCCAGACTCAACAGATAGGCCTCAGCAAGGCCAGCACAGGCCCTGGGCTGGTGACCTCCTACTCACTTCCCCCTGGGCTTGCACTTGCAACAGGAGATGGGGCAGAGACACCCTGTGCTATAATCGCCCAGTTCCTCACTCGGTATGGCATGCACAGCTCGGGTCTGGGCCTTAGTGCTCCCAGGAGAGGGGGTTCTCAGAGGGTCTTTGGAGGCAAATCAGAGAGACCAGCAAATGTGCCTCAGCCGGAGTAACAGCAGGAGGGCAGGCTTGCTCTGGCTGCCACCGCCCACTTCCTGGCTTACCAGGGGGCAGTGGGACACCCTGGGGGTCTCCTCCCTGTCTTTATACCTTCACTTGCAACAAGGGGATGTAGACAGGAAAGGAGAGCTGTCCCCATTCCTTTTTAGCCTTCAGAACTGCTGACAGGGTCTGTGGCCAAAAGGTTAGGATTTGGGTGAGAGTAGGGTTGAATGAAGAAAGCAAATGAGAGAGAAAGTGAGAGAGAGAGAGAGGGATAGACAGACAGACAGACAATGGGGAAACCAAGGGGGAAATCGATAAAGAACCGAGGGAAGGAAGTAGAGGAGGCGGATAAGAGAGAGGAGGTGGAGTTACCCACACACCTAGGACAGGACTGGGCCTCAGCCTATCTGAGGGAAGCAGCACAGGTGGGAAAACGACCTCTCAGGACGACTCCACAGGGACCACCCCCCTTCTCAAAGGCAGTGCGCAAGTTGCTGCCTTCTCACACAGCTTACAGCCCTCAGCCTCCAACTTCCCTACTCAGCCACTTCCCTGTCACCCTGTGGAGAGGATGATGAGCTGACTGTGTGGGGGGCTGATGGGGATGCAGGAGCCGCCACCAGTGCCGCCTGGGGATGGGCGGGAGGAGGTGTTGCAGAAGGCGGGACTCTAGCGACAGCCGCTGGCAGGGGTGGGTCTGGGGAAGGTGAAGGGGGTAAATGGCAGGAAGTCACACACATTGTGGCTGGAGAAGGGACAGAGCCCTTACTCCATTTCTAAGAGGACATTGTTACCCAGCCCTGCAGCATGGTGTCTGTGACAAGTGCTGGAGGGCTCAGCTGGGCCCCGCCCCTTGGCCTGGGCACCATCCCATCACAGCCTCCCAGGCTGAGAATGCTGCACAGACCCCCTCCTTTCTGTGGCTTAACGGGGTCCAGGAAGAGGGTGGGAAGCAGCAGAGCCACCACTCACCAGGGTGCTGTGTGCCTGGGGGCAGGGCAGCGGCCTCACTCCACTGGTCTGCGCTGGAAACGGAGCAGGAGCGCTGGTGCAGCCCCTCGGGGCGTGGGCCAGCCCAGGCGGAGCTGCTGAGGGGGCGCTGCTCAGAGTGCAGGGATGTGCTGCTGGCCGAGTGGGGGGCACCTGGGGGGGAAGGGTCAGACTGGGAGGGGAGGCCGGGGAAGGGGTGCACAGAGATACTGTCCTGAAAATAGGGCTATGGGGCAGAGCTTGAGAAATTCCAGCAGGATACTGACTAAAAATGAGAGGAGCTTGGATTTACCAGGTGGCGGGCCAGGATCATTGGAGCACCAGAGTCCTCATATGGGCTCTCCATGCCTTAGGAAGCAGCCCATCCCCTGACCTTCACACTCTCCTCTCTGTCCCCTCACTGTGATCTGAAAACTGGAAGGGGTCTCTGTCAGAGAGCTCCTGGTTTGTGGAGAGAGCTGGGCGTGGTGCTGACACCCACTGCTGCAGTGCTGCTTGGCCATTATGCCCAGCTCCCTGTCCCTCCTGCCTCAGACCCCTGCACCCTACATTCTAGTCCAGATATGCCATTTGCTTTGCCTCAGCTTTGCTGCCATTCTGACTAGAAATAAGTGTATCAAATTCAAGTAATTATGTCTAATTAGTATTAGTAATTATCCTGTTGGGCTGGAGAAAATTAATCTTTCGTTTCCCATCAGGGAAGAATGGCAGAGCCAAGGGGATCCAAAGGCTCCAGGAGCGCCAGGGCTGGGCACGCATGGCCGCAGTGGAGGGAGGAGGACAGAGCACCCTCAGTTCTCCTGGCCTCACTCTCCAGGCTGCAGGTCCATTCCAGAGAGATCTTGGGAACAGCCATAGGCCTCAGAGGCCTTTAACAGCTAAAGGGCCTGAGCTGGGACCCTGAGAACGTAAGCTTCCCTCCCCTTCTTTATCCCTCCTAAGACTGAAGGTGGTGACTGAGACCAGAAGGAAATGGTCATGTGAGATCTAAGGGCAAGCTGGCCAAACATGAGTTCAAAACTTTAAGCTGAAGAGCTAACCAGGTGTTGACAGTAGGAAAGCAGAGAAGGGGCCAGAAGCTGGCCAAAGCTGGAGAAAGCAAGCCAAGGCCACACCAGGGAAATGGCAAACTTGGGGTCTCATACCAGCCCTGCCAGCACAGGAGCTGAGTTTCTGGAAGCCCACAGGTAGCAAGCACTGAGCTGAAGCAGCTACAAGATAAAGGAACAGGCCACACATACCAAGTGCTATGGGGACAGTATGATGCTTAAAGGCAGAGGACACGTTTTATGTTTCTTATATTTGTTGTAACACTCAAAACAGGACTAGGCACATACTAAGTGCTTAGTAATATACACGTGGCACCAAGACTGTAGGCCAGTCTACGCAGTTTCCAGTCCCCTAATGTAACGTGTTGAGGCCACCTCTTCAGAATCCCACCCAGCTCCCCTAATCTGTTCTAACAGATCCCTCCTAACTGAGCCTTTCTCCTGTCCCTCAGGAAACCTTCTGGGGGGCACACTCAGTCCCTAATTTCTCAGACACCTTGCTTCTCCCCACCCCCTCCTGCTTTCATTCCCTCCCAGGTTCCAAATCATATTCTCCCCTCATCCCTAGCCCCATCCAAAGACATCACAGGCTCAACTTCCTCCCCAAGCCCCCCAACCCAAAACCCTGAGGGAGGGAAAGTACTTTCCTTTTCTTTGTTAATTCTCCCCTCATTACGCCTGCAATCCCACAATCAGTGGTCATATTCTCCCCTCATCCCTAGCCCCATCCAAAGACATCACAGGCTCAACTTCCTCCCCAAGCCCCCCAACCCAAAACCCTGAGGGAGGAAAAGTACTTTCCTTTTCTTTGTTAATTCTCCCCTCATTACGCCTGCAATCCCACAATCAGTGTGCACTGTAATTGTCGAATTTGATGCTAATGATTAATGAATTAAACATGGAGCCATCAATTAGTCCTCGGAGGATAATTCTGCATAAAGCAGCGGATAATGTAATTACAGTAACAAAGATAATGAGATGTTAACATCGCCCGGTGAGCGAGAGACATGTGTGAGTGTGCATGAGGGTCGGTGTCAGCGTGCGGCTGCGGGACGCTGGCTTGGGTAAGCGCCGGCTGGCTGTGTGCTCCTGTGTGTAGGAGCTGTAATCATGGGAGCCAGTGTGTGGCAGCTCCCTCCTCCATGCCATTTTGGCTCCCCAGGTAAAGGATATCCAGCTCTAGGAATGGGACAGAACAGTGTTTTCTTGTTTTTCTCCCTCTATTTTCCCTCTGGGGAAATAGCCCAGCTTTACTTTTGCTACCTGCCTTCAAGGAGAGGCTCCCCACTTCCATAAACTTGAACTTGGTCTTCTTTGATATGCTATAAGAAAGCTGACCAGATGGGGCTCTTTGGCTTTCTGCATGCAGCTTTGGGAGATCCTGGTACTCATGCCAGAGGGCTCCCAGCAGTTCTGATCTACTGTCTGGGCAGAGCACTGAGGACCACATGTGACCTATTTTTGCCATTCGAGCTGCCACCCCTCCTTCCCCCCACTGCCCCAGCACACCCCTGCAGCAGGCTCTGGCACACTACCATGATGGGTGGTCGACGGGCTTTTTCCTCCTTAGTTTCCTTCCTTCCCTCCATCCACTAGAGCTCTCCCTCCGCACCTGTCAAGGGCTTCTTTCTGAGCTCAAGAAAGAGGAAAGAACTCCTTTCTGAGCTCATAGAGGAAAGAACATGGCTTTTCAAGCCAGCCACACTTATGTTCAAACCCTAGCACTCTCCACTTCTTGTGGGATTTTATAGACAAGTTCTTTAGCTCTCTCAGCCTTTGTTTCCTCATTAAAATGGGGACAATACCCTGATTTCACACAGCTGCTGTGGACCTGGGGAATGGTGTAGAGACATCCATTGCACCTGGCACATCTCCATCAGCAATGTCAGGTCCTCCCCTGGCACCACCAGTCTGGTCAGTGGTGGCCACATAAGAGGGAGCCAAATATCTACAAGGTGCCTCACCTCAAACAAGGGCCACACTTGGAGGCTCTCATCTCATTTACTCTCCCCTAACCAGACTTTCTCAGTGTGAGTCCCATCAGCATTTTGAGTGGGGCACTTCTTTATTGTTTGGGGTCTGTCCCATCCATTCCAGGGGACTTAGTATCCCCAGCCCCCTGTCCACTAAGTCTCTGTAGCACCCTATCATTATGACAAGCAGAGACACCCCCACATGCCCTCTGAGGAAGGTAGTACACCCCAGGTGGAACCCTATACTGCCAGGAGCTGACTCTTAAGGGCAGGGCACAGGGACACAGGGCAGGGCAGTGTCTGGAGCAGCTTTTTCTGGTCCCAAGGAAAACAATATCCATTGGTCTTGGCCAATATCAAGGATACTGAAGTTTTGGGAGGAAGGGTGTAGGAGCCCAGGTACATCTAGGAGTGAGGGAATTGAGTGTGAGATGAACAGCCGTAGGAAGAGCGGGGTCTAGGAACAGGAGAAGTCCGTGGGAGGAGCAATGAGCCAGGTGTAGGAAGGGAGTACGTAGGGACAGAGTGCCTCTCACCTGAGTCCACACTATCACATGAAAAGGTAAGAACATGACCTACGACAGGCTGCCCTGTTGCAATCGCAGTCTCTCAGTCCCTAACTCTTCATTCTGGACAACTGGACAGATGGCAGCACATCCTGCCCTCCCACGCCTCTCTAAATTCAATCTTCTTTGAGCAGAGACCCCACCTCTCACTGCAGACCTGAGATGTTTGCCTAGTTGGCCCCAGGCAACTCTGTCCCTCCTGTGCCCACATGGCAAGCTTGACTGAGATGCTGGCTGTGCATCCAGAGGCCCTGCCCCCACCCATCAACCTGTCTTGGCTCCAGACTCAGAGAGATTGGCCCTAAGACCACCAGTACCAGACATGAGGCTAGCTGGCCCAATCTGATATCCAAATCAACTGCTGGTCTAGACATTGGCTGCTACCTCATCTAGCTCCACTAGGACTGCATTTTGGCTGAGATGATACTGAAGTATGACACTGGCTAGCGAGCATATTTGGAGACCAGCATGCCTGCCTTCCCAAGCCCTGCTGCAGCCACTCTGCATGCTTCCAGTGCTCTCCACATGCCCCCACCTCAGCAGCCGCCTCACCTGTGCCCCCACCCATCTGGGTGTTACTCCGCTCCACCGCCAGCCCGTTGGCACGGGGGCTGGTGCCCGGGGCTGTGGCAGGTGTGGCTCTGGGGAGGCGCTTCCCTGGCACTTTCACCGTGGTCCGCAACAGGTCAATCTCCTTGCCGTGGATGTTCTGCATGTAATCCTAAAAGCCATGTGGATGAGACAGACGAAGATTCATGAGGACAGGTCACTCTTCGGTAGCCCTTTATCTCTGACATCAACCCTCTCAACTCCTAGGTCTCTCCCTGCTTTGCTACCTGGGGTAAGGGGAGGAGAGAGAAAACTCAAATTTTAAAAGCAGGACTCTGAAGCCCACAGAATGTCTCCAAGTCTAGATGACATCTGGCTCTCCATGGTGGCCAAGGTGGCTCTTCAGGGGTCAGCCAGTGGGGAGGAAGGCAGGCAAGGTCAGGGTCCTAAAGATCAGGAGCCAGGGTTGTGGCCTGGGGCCCCTTAGAGAATATGGCTTAAGAGGCAACGCAAAGGAGCCCATATGGCTGAGGAGAGGAACTCTAGGATAGGGATGGCTGGGCCAGGAGGCTGGCCACCAGACTTCAGCCTATTTCAGAAGATTCCACCCCCACTTGGGCATTAAGTACCTTTTAAAGACTAGAATAGTGCCCAATCCTTAGAACAGCACCTGCCAAAAAATATTTGTTGAACAGTTTGAAGGGAAGCCTTTGATTCTTTTTGCTGGACTTAGGAATACAGCAACAGGCCCATGGTTTCACAGATACCACAGATTATCAGTAGTCATCGTCATCATCATCTCATTTGCCCACCTGTGTGCCAGGTATTTACTGCTCTAGAGCAGGATATTTTATACACAAATATATTTTATTCACAACAGCCTCAGGGAGGCATTACCATACCTATTTTGGCAATCTTTTTTGTGTGTCTGGTACAGGGATCGAACCCCTGCCCTTGGTGTATTAGCACCATGCTCTAACTAGCTGAGCTAACCGACTAGCCTATACCTATTTTGTAGTTGAAAAAACAGGATTAGGAAGGTTAATTTGCCCTAGCTCACACAATGAGAAGGTAGTAGAGCCAGATTCAAGCCCAGGTTTTTCCTATTCTCAAGGTCATATTCCATATGTGGGCTTCTCAAGCCTGTCCTAGGCCTAGGAACTCACCCTCCCTTAGAGTCAGCATCCTGGAGGGCCTTGGAGAGTGGGAGCCACTTTATGCTTGGACTCTCCCTGCCCTCCACTTAGACTTTGGCCTAGAAGCACCATGGTCGAGTGGCAGGGAGGATGGGGCCTGCAGAGCCCTCTGTCCCTGCAGCTTCCTGTCTTCAAGCCGGTGACTGGCCTGCAGCCACAGCTCTCCCTACTGCTTCTAGTCTTCATTCCAGACTGTTGACTCCTGTTTCCATGTCCCCGTCACACTCCTTGGTCATCCCTAGCTCGCATCCTCAATAGCATGGCAAAAACTTCATCCCATGGGTCTACACACCTTCCTGAGAGAAGAATCTGGGCAATGTTGCTGACTTAACTTTTGACTGAATTACATTGATTAGACATAAAGTCAGCTCCTTGTTTCCCCTTCATGAGCATATCTGGGGTGTCTGGCATCCAAAGAGCTTCCATAAGAGAAGCCGTCTCCGACATGGTTTTCCTGTCCTGCGAGGCCCAGACCTCTCACTCTGACCCACTCCAGGCAGCAGACTGCTTTTCACCCATTTCTCTAATTCTCACCCTTTTAGCTTCAGGGAAAAGGGATAATGTCCTCTGCTTAAAAGAGCAGATGGGAGTTCTGCCTCTTAGGAAGCAGTAGCAGGGCAGCAGATCTCTTTGGGACTTAAGGGCTGCCCTTCAGCCTGGGAATAACAACAAGGACATCTAGTAGATGAGTCACCTGGCCCCAGGTCACCAAGAGTTACCAGTTAGAAGAAGGAGATAGAGCTCCCTAAACACCTGCCACCTGCACTTCTGTGGCTGGGCTGGATGTTGCCCACAGCTCCATGTCTGGCCAAGCTTCATTCTCAAGGCGGCTATGACCAGGGCCTAACCGACCAGAGGAAAGGAGCTGCTTCTGGAAGGTGTGTTCAAGGAGGAGCCCCTGCCCCCTGCCACTGCTGCTCCTGCAGCCTTGGGCTGCGTCTGTGCCCTCCTGCCACCCCTAGTTCTCTGTGAGGGACAGTGCCAGGTGCCTGGCCTCAGGCACATGTGCTCTGAGGTTTTGCTCACTATCTCAGAACTGCAGAACGACAAAACTGAGAAATTAACCAGAGCAGTCTCCCACCCAAGGCGGGACAACCTCTCAGCCCACTCTGCTGAGCACTGACAGGGCTCTCTCCCCAGCTCTGGGCCTCACCAAGGTGGCTGGGGAGGAAATGAACCCAGGCACCCCTTTCCCGCCCTCCCAGTGCACCTCTATCCAATCCTTCTCCAGCAAACTGAGCACCACTCTGCCAGTCACCACTGGCCCTCGGGTTTTGCTTTCAGCCCACTGTCCAGTATGTGACTTCACTGTTTCACCCCTCTTCCCACCTCCATCCCACAGCCTCAGCTTCTGCATGTTCCCATCCCTGGTACCTGCACATACTCATCCCCAATCCCTGCTTGTTCCCATCCTTGGCCCCTATACACAATCACATCTTGGTTCGGCGGCTCCAGACAATTGTCAACAGCTGGTTGGGCCAAAGGCACAGCTGCAGTCCTTCTCCTGAGGGAGGGGCTTGGGCTGCTCTAGTTCACAAGGAGGTCACAGCAGATGCAACAGTTTTCTGGCCCCACTACAGCCCTGAGATACCCAGTCTGGGACGTGGCAGGAGAAGCTGACCCTATGCCAAGAACAAGAACTGCATAGAGGGATTCCCTCAGGGCCAAGAAGCTGAAACTGGCTTAAGGGGAAAGGACTTCCCAATTCAGCATGTCTGACTGCATCCGACAGATGCTCTGTGTGCCCAGGCAGGCCACACCCACAGCTTCTCAACTCCATACCCTTGTGCTAGGCTAGCTCCAGGGCTCAGAGCCGAGAGGTGGGGCCTGGGCCTGGGCCTGGAAGAGAGTGTGGCGAGAAGCGGAGAGGAGTAACAGCAGGGACAGGAACCTCAGGGGCAGAGCAACAGCGTTTCCCTCCGTCAGCAGAACGGGGAGCGTGGTGGTGGTGGTGGCAGCGGCTGCTCAGGAGAGCGGTCACCACGGCTGCCTTTATTACCCACCATCAAACAGCAATTTCTTCCCCAGCCTCCTCGCTAATTACCCAGCCAGCGTTCTCATCTCGTTTTATTACTGGAATTAACAACGAGTTCAGAGCGTGGAAAGCTATTAAGATGTGTGATTAAGCCACATTCAATTAGTTTCTACAAACAATTTAATTGATGTTGCAGATAGAATTAACAGAAGGTGATTGTGTGAATGGCTCCGCTGGCTGCAAAATGGGGGAGGCTGTGGCAGGCTCTCCAGGGCCGGGCCAGAGTTGGGCACAAAGCTCAAGGCCTGCCCACCAACTTGTGCCCACACGGCCCGCCTGGCCTCTGTCAATAGGCCAGTCACCAGCACTGTTGCCCTCAGGTTTGAGGCAAGACTTATCCCTGAGGGAGAGCCAGAATGGGCCCAGAGTTCTGTCTGAGCCTCTGGAGTCACTGGAGGTCCTTCCTCTCCACACTGCGACAGGATTTAGCATCTGAGAGCCACAGAAGGAAGCTGGCTGCTCACAAGTAAGGAGGCTGCCTGGTCACTGCTGGCACCTAAAGAGAGTGCCCAGGTTGGAAGAAGGTGGCCAACGGGCAATGGAGGAGGAAAGGCAACAGCAGCCACGCAGAGGAACAAAGGCAGCATGAGGGGAGCAGGATGAAGCGAAGTGCTCGCGAGAACTGAGTGTCACCCTGGAAGCACGGCTTCTCTGTTTCCACTGCGCTGCGGTTTCCGTGGGAACATATCCTCCTGATGAGAAGGAAGCATCTACAGGGCAGGGATAGTGCCATCCGCGCCTGCCACTTCCTCCTGGTATCCGGTGTGGGGGAGGGACACGCATTTGACCGCGAAGCCTGTGGGTGGCCAGTGAAGGCAGTTACCAACAGACTGGGGGCCTGTGCTCTCACCCTCTTCACGACTTCCTGTGGTCAGGACAGCAAATGGGGCCTGGTGGGGCTGGGACCTGGGGTGCCAGAACAGTCGAGCTGCCCGTCTCTTAGAACTCACCTTGCAGGATGCAAGGACAGGTCTGGAAGCCCCTGGCACCTAGATCCTGTCACAGGCCCCTGAAGCACATCCGGCAAAACACAGCACAACACCATGCGATGCCCGTGGGGACTCCCAGGGGGACTCCGACTCCCAACCCTGTCCTGACTTGACAGTACTTGCCCCTGATGCAAGTTTCTCAGCCGGCCCCAAAGGCAGGTGCTCTTGACAAGTGCAGAAAAATCCAGGTAATGCTGAGAGTCAAAGTCATGGATCCCCATCTCAGCTCAGCCACTGGCTAGGTAACTTTGACAAGCCACCAAACCCACAGAGCATCTGCTCTCCAGCTTGTTGTGTGTGAAAACAGCACTCCCTCAAAGCTTTCCCTTTCTTTCCTATACAGAAACCAAAACCCAGCCCCACCCAACATCAACCCTTTCCTCCATGTCCTCAGACCCCCTCTGCCATCCTCTTTGCCCCTGGGCTTCCTTCACTATCTGGGGGCATTGGGGCAAGCAGAAAGCATAGACCACACACCAAGCGAGGGTCTTACAAAGCAGAAGGGACCAGAACGGACGGGAGAGAAGGGGCAGGCCACCCCTACATGGAGGGAAACTGGGGTTTTCCAGTAAGTGAGTTCCCAGGCTCCCCAGTCAAGATGGCCACAAGCAGACAGCACGTGCATGCCTGCCCTGTGTCCAGCGGGGTGCAGTATGGCTGGCTGGGAGGCAGGATGTGCCAGCGTGGTCTCTTGGCATCTGCACTACTATCTGGGACTTCCTGTCTGTGAGTGGGCATGACACCTCTTGGACCCTTTTAGTTAGGAAATACTTCATTTTCCTGGTGCTACTCCTCTGGCCCCTCCCTTAGGGGCTCTGTGGCACAGTAACAAAGCCTTGTCCCGCATAAGGACTAGGTGCCAGGGCAAGGTCTATAGTGTTAGGAGGAGGGTGGGGTTGGGGCGAGGAGGGAGTTGAGGAGCCTGTTGTACTAAATGGCTGGCATCCCTTCTCCAATCTCCCAGGTACAGCTGCTACCTGGTGTCCTGGCACCTGGTCCTATCCTATGGAGTAAGGGACGTTAGGAGGAAATAACCTCTAACTGACATTGTCCCCTGAGCTAAGTAATCAGATAAGGAGAAAACCCAGGAGGACCAGGCTGGGGTTTGGCCTGAATGGAGAAAGACCCCCAAGGCTGGCTCTTCCCATGCCAGGCCTCTTCTGCATGCTTCCTCCACAGGGCTGTCTGGGCAGTGCCCTCAGGACCCGATTATGGCTGGAAATGTGGAGTCCAGCACCTCTCGGGTCGGGCCTCCCTGACATCTTGTGCAGATTCAAAGGCAAAGTAGAGACCCTCTGAGGCAGGCCCAGGGCTTCTGGGCCGGGGGGTGGGGCCGGCCCACGTGCTGTGCTTGAGGGGCTTCACAGGAGAACTCATTAGCCCCACAGTGGGGTGGTGACAGAGATGGATTCTGGTGACAGCTGTGTGCTGGAGCCACGCAGTGAGGGGAGAGGGAGAAAGGAAGGATGGGGGGAGCTGCCATAGGGGCTACTCTACAGTCACGGCAGCACCCCAACTGGGGTATAGGCCATGCGCCCTCCAGACCCTTCTTCCCATGAACAATGCCACCCCCATTCTCCTCCCAGGAGGTTCTGTCCAAGGCCCCAGGCCATTGTCAACAGCCCTGCATAACCGCCATCTCATCTTCCACCATCCCAGGCCCAGAGGCCTGGGGCTCTCCCACTGATGGCCCAACCAAAGACAACTGTCTGGCAACACTGGCACCCCTGACTTTAAAAATTCTGTGTAAGTGCGCTGCATCCAGCAGTTTAAACAACTGTGATAGGGGCTGTACAGCCTGGCTGCCCAGAGGGCAAGGGAGAGGCCAGCCTAGCATCAGCCGGGGTGACTGTCCCTGGTGGTGAGCTTCCCTCACGGGGCTCAGCTACACTCAGGGCTTTGTGTAAGTGCTTGGCCAGGCCTGGGTCTTGTGCACTCCCACGCCTCCAAAGTGAGGCTCTTTCTCAAGGGAAGATCCATTTGGAATCACTAAGGTCTGCTTCCCTTCAGTCCTGGAGCCCGCCCCCACCCCCATTCTGTGAGTCTCCCTCTATCCCAGTCCCCTGCACCCCCGGGACCGAGCACCTCCTGGGGACTCACGTGCAGGCTGGGGTGATAGGTGAGCAGCCCATTGTCACAGAGCGTCACGTACTTCTTCTTCCACTCTTTGTTCAGGGACTTGCCGCTCCGCTTCAGCAGGATACCCTGAGAACAGAGGTTCCATCAGAGACCAGGAGCCAGCCCCACACATCACAGAGAACAAAAAGGTCACAGTGTCATTAGGTAATACTCTCCTCTATTCCCCCTGCTCCTGAGCCGCTTTGTCTAGGCAGAGGCCTTTAAGGACCTACAGCTGAATTAGGGAGAACCAGTGAGACAAATCCTTCCACAGAACTAGGCTCTTCCTGACCATCCCAGTAAGCAGCCTGCACTGCTGTTCTGGGGGGTGGGTGTCTTCTTTCCCCAGGGTGTGGAGCCACCTCAACAATAGGAGACAGGGATTCAGACCCTGCTCCTACCCACGTGGCTCCGAGGGATGGGGTGAAACAACAGCAGAGATTTCAGTAGGGCCCTGGCCTTTTTGCCACCCATAGTAGCTCTAGAACAAGGCAGAAAAACTCCCTAACTGTCCCAAGAATGCCCCAGACCTCCCAAGCTAGGCAGCAGGAAGACCCACCCAGCCTTCCATCCCAGCAACCAAACTTCCTGCGTAAGCCAATAAGATGCTTTAAATGTGGAGGTTAGATGAGTATAAAGACAAACAGAAGCTCCATGACAGCAAGGATTTTTTGTTTTGTTCACTGATAAAGTGTCAACACCTGGGACAATGCCTGGGCCATAGCACTCAATAAATGTCTGTTGGAAAAATTGGGGAAAAGTCCCCCAAGACTGTGTGGCTGGCAGATGATGAAGTCAGGACGTGGACCCCACTAGGAAGATGAAATGAGACAAAGCCTACCCCAGTCTTCACTTGGTTCCTGGGAGAAACCTGCTGCTCTAATGATAATTCCTGAAAGATGCCCTGACCCTACTCTGCTCTCTCCCTCAAAACAAACAGCACAAAAGAATGGCTGGTGGGGGGGGTGGGGGTCAGGAAGGGAACCAGCAGCACCATGGGTGGATGCCAGATGGGAGATCCCATCCCAGAACTAGCATCACCACTTGTGGACCCCCATCCTCCAAAACCCCGAAACTCAGGAGGGTTGAGAAGAGGCAGTGCTCCCTGAAGATTTCTAGACAAAAATCCCACAGCAGGGAGAGGAACACAGTTAGATCCACAAACTGGGTGCTAAGTGGGAAAGAGGATCCACCCCAATGGTGTTAAAAAGGATGAGCTCTGCCCACACATAGAGGAGGCACAGCCCAGACAGAGAAGCCCTGGAATGGCTTCTCCTTTAGGAACGGACGGCCCTGCCCCAAGAGAGCCAAGAAAATAGGGTTTAAGATTCAGGTGTGAAAAAACGGGCAGTCCCTCTGTCTTCAGTTTATGGTCCTGAGGCCCAAGGCTGGGGGGTAAACACCAGATTCAACTGCACTGCTCCTCTGAGTTCTTCCTGCCAGAGGGCTTGGCCTGGATAGGATCCGCTGCCTGGTCTCTCCCTCCCTGTGGGGCGAGGTGGAAGTGGGAAGGGGCACCCCTTCCCAGCGGCTGAGCAGCGCTCACTCCAGGCTTCCACCTGTCAACAGACAGCCCACAGCCTTGCCACCCCTCCTGCCCTCATTCGTCCTCCTGCTTCTGCGGCCACCCCCAACAGACAGGTGTCATTGCGGGACGTGTGGGATGCAGGATGAGAGTTGCAGTACATGACCGTCTGAGGATACATCCTGCTACCTGGTCCCCCATCAGTGTGGGAGCCCCTTTCCTCAGGAGAGGCTTCTGAAGACAAGCAGCGTTAATGGGACCTTCACTAGACAACAGGGAGGGCTGGGACATTCCAAAAGGCAAAGGGCCCTGGTCGGTGGTCTGTGAAAGAGACTGCAGAGTCGTGTGAAGCCTTGGTGACCTGCCTCTGGGTGTGGCATCCCTGTCACCGGCCAGGGACAAGGTGCGGCTGAGTGCAAACGGTACCACTGCTCCCTCTCCCTTGACCCCCAGCAAAGGACTCCAAGGACATGCGGCCCCTTGAAAACGCAGGCCATCAGGCTCTGGAGACACCCCCAGGGAATCATCCCCAACTCCACCTCAGGAACGCAGGCAAAAAAAGAGTGACCACGTGCGAGCAGATGGCACAGGAGGAGCCCAGAGTGAGCATCCTGGGCAGAGCTCCCTCCAGGGACCTTGTGCTCCTCATGTCATGACTCCTCTCCCCCAACTCGGGGGACTTTCCTCCCCTGAGCCTTAGATAGGAGAGTCCACACCCACCGGAACCCAGCCCTCCCTCCATGTCCCTCATCATGCTCACTGTTGGGCCCTTTCCTCACAGGTCTATCAAGGCAGGACACGGGGATCTGCTCCCCATTCTGCCACCAGCCAGCCCCATAGCATCGAACAAATCCTGTGCTTCTCTGGCCACCGCTTCCTCTGACAGACAGGGAGCAAGGAGCGCGGCCTTAGGGTCTCATCCACCTTTCCCACTCAGACACTTCCAGGCCTCCCTCCTCCCTGAGAATGGGATCACAAGTCAGGACTCTCTTCCTTCACCAGAGACCCTTCTTCGGGAGGAAGCAGATGAGCCCCGGACTGGTGGTAATGAGCTCCTTAGATGGAGGGTGTGGGCGGGGCGCTCCAGCTTGGCGGGGAGAAGCCAGCGCTGGTGGGGACTCAACCGGCAACCCACTTCCCTCTCCAGCCCACCTCTCATCTGCCCAGCCCCAGCCGCCCACACAGCAGTCACCGGGAAACAGAAAGCAGGGCCAGCAAAGAGAGGCACCTACCCTGCACCTCTCCCCCACTCCTCGCCCATCTCATGTTCTGAGAGGGAGAGTAGCTACAGGGCTTCCTGCTCCCCTCCCTGGCCGGCCGGCTGCGCACGGCGGAGCAGGAAGCATACCCTGCACCTCTCCCCCACTCCTCGCCCATCTCATGTTCTGAGAGGGAGAGGAGCTACAGGGCTTCCTGCTCCCCTCCCTGGCCGGCCGGCTGCGCACGGCGGAGCAGGAAGCAATCTGGGGCGGAATGGGAGCGGTGCGGAGGCGACAGCCCCCAGAGGACCGTTCCCACCGCCGCCTCCCTCCCAGCTCCGCCAGCCGACTTAATTGCGGAGTCCGGATTGATTGGGAATGCAAATGGCAACTGAAATGCAATCTCCACTCCCAGCAGGAGCTGGGGGGAGGGGAAGGAACAGGAATGGGGGAGAAGGGACAGGAGGGCAGAAAGGGGAGGGGCCGCAGACCTGGCAGGTCGGACCAGCAAGCAGCAGGGAGGTCCCAGAGTGGGGAAGCCCAGGAGTGGCTACTGGGCTGGGAGAGGAGGTGATCAGGACAGGTCTCCACCCCTGTCGGCATGGTCACCATGCAATGGGAAGGAGTGGGCACACCTCAAAGGTTGTGCTGCAGTCCTGTGGCTGCATCAGGAGCACAGGCCTCTCAGCAGCACCACTCAGGGCTGACTGCAGGTACGGGGCCTTCCTACTGAGAGTCCCTGAGACTGTAACACACAATGACCTAGGTAACTCCCAGGCTGGACCACAACCCCAGGTGCAGGTTCACAGGGCTTCCAACCCCACCCCACATCTCCCTTTTCCACCCATGTGGGGGATTCAGAGAACAAGTGAGTCTGCCCCCAGCTACCACAACCCTCAGACAGGAAGGGGAGTGTGTGGGGTCCGTAGGAAAGTGTTCTCATTTACTTATTGAATGCGTGTAGGTGTGTGTACACATCCACTGAGAAGGCACACTCCCTCCCTTACATCTCCCCACCCCCAAGCAGGAAGCTGACGATCCTATGCCCAAAGCACAGAAGCATCACCTGGCAAGAGGCCCCCACAAAAGAGGTATCCAGGGAAATGGGATCAAACCATCAACAGGTTTGTGTGGAGACTGATTCTGCACACAGATACACACACGCACGCTTTTGCACATGCACACACAGGGAAGGGGAGGGAGGGGAGAGGACTCTGGCTGCAGCCATTCTGTGCCTTCAGCCTTTTCAGGTGACCTCCTAGGCTGCCCCAACTGGAATGTCCCTGCCAGACATAAACACAATGGATATTTCAAAGGAGAGATAAAGTAGAAAAGGCAGGGCCCAGATCATCCAGTGGCTTCCCCTGCCCTCTGGGGCCAACATAGTTCCTGGGACTCTTCACTGTGAATGGACCTTCATTGTAGGTCAGACACGTCCAACCTTACCACATGACTCCTAGTCACACTGACTGGCCCTCTCCCCTCAAGAGATCACACTGCTCTCAGGCCCCAAAAGCCCCAGCCCAGGAGGGCCAAACCTGACCACAGGCCCTGGCCGAGCCAACCTCTGGTGCTCTGGCCACACCAGTCTCTCTGTGGTCAAAGCCTGGCAACGCAACCTCTCCAAACACCAGATCCCAAGAAAATCCATGCCAAGCCAACATCACAAAGGGTACAACAGAGTAACAATCAAGCTACTGCCCCCTAGTCCTCATGGGCACCTTAGCCCCTCAGGCCCTTGCCCAGGCTCCATAGAGACACCTTCCCATTCTACCCCCATTCACCACCAGCAGCTCTGGGGCTCCTACTCAACACAGCAACATCTCTGAGCAGAGACACTCTCCATTATTCAATGTCTTCCAGCACAGGGACCCACAACAAGATGCCTGGGAAAACCCAGGCTTCAGGTGGCCCAACATTCCCAGGTAGTGACTCAGATAGGAGCAGGAGGAGAGATTAGGAGATGGCATCTCAGCTAAGCTTTTTCTTTAAAAATGAACAGAGGCTCCTATCAATAAAACTATGTCAATAAACCTGAGGTAGGACTAGCTCTCAGTATCCCCTTCCATGCATACTCCTGAGGTTACTCTTTTGCAAATTCTCTGCCTTAGGCCACAGAGCCCAGACTCAACCCTCTCCAGACTGAACTCCAGAACCAGCAGGTCTGAGAGAGCGACCCACAGAGGACAGCGAGTAGCTCTCTGCTGCCCTCTGGTGGCAAAAGGGAGAGCAGTGTGTGCCCGGAAAAGGCAGATCTGTGTGCCCAGAAAGAGACCACCCAGGGAAGGGGGCCTGGGCCTCAGGCTTCTTACCTGTGTCTCGTTAAGGTCGCCTCTAACACCACCTCCCCCGTCACAGAAGCCCCAAGAAAAACCATGCTTTACCACGTCCTGAGGCTCATTACAACTGTCCTCGGACCACAAGGGAAGGAAAGTGCTGACCTGCTTAATGGGGATGGCCCGGCCACTCCCGATACTGTCCACCTTGCACTCAGCAGCCTTCTTCTCCCGGTCCAGGTCAGCACCCTTTCGAGACTGGAAGAGAGAAGAAGAGGCGTGTTAAAGAGGCCCAGGGTCCGCTGGGGAGAAGTGCCCGCCTGGAGTTCCCAGCCCTCCCTCCTGCCTCCCTCCTCCTGGGCGGCCCTAGCAGTGGGTCAGGCCGGGGCGGCGGGCTGGGAAGGAACTAAGGAACTGAGACCATGAGTATTCCAACGGGTTTATTCTTACACACGGCACCATACAGAGCAGCACAGGTCACTGAGCTGGGCCCGCCCCTTACAAAAGAGCAAAGACACGAATACCGAGGGCGCGGGCGCAAGGAGCACGCAGCCCAGGGGCTGGGGCGTAAGAGGAAGGGGTCGAGGAGAGGTGGACGGTGGGGCTGAGGACTGGCCAGGAGCACAGGGCACAACAACCGGGGACAGCAAAGTCCAGAAGTGAGCGGGCAGGCGGCCCGTCTGCGGCACAGACACCACACAGCATGTGGCACCGAGCATGTCGGTGTGGCCCAAGGGGCACAGTGGATGGAGAGAGAGAGGAGAGAGGCCAGAAGAGGCCTTGCGCCCTGCCAAGCTCCCGGGCCAGAGTCTGCCCGAATGTGGATCCTAGGAAATAGGGGAGGCCAAAAAGAAGGGGCAAGGCAAGCGCGGTGGTGGCGGCGGCGGCGTCCGGAGCAGGAGCAGGAACGGCAGAAGTCCATGCAGGAAGGAGCAGAGGAGGGGAGGGGCAGGAAAGCGCCCCCCAGGAGCAGCTGGGCCAGCAGGCTTGGACTCCCCCGCCCTCTGGGCCTTGTCGCACTGCCGGTGCCGGCGTGGGGCCGAGCTCCCTTCTTCTCCATGCAGCGAGCCTGGCGCAGCGTCCAGCCGGGCCTGGTCCCCCGGCAGCCCTCAGCGCGGGCTCCAGAGCTCCTAGCCTTCCCTGGGGGTGGGGTTAGTGACAAAGGTTCCCGTGGGTCTCTGGAGCGGGGAGCTCGGCGGCCGCTTCTCATCTGAGAGCAGTCCCAGGGCCCGGCCCGCCTCCGGCCCCGCACAGGGGAATGTCCAGAGGTGCTGTGTGTCACCACCTGGTCTTCTAATTTGGAAGGAGTTGGAAAGGCCTTTTTGTTGATGAAAAGTTGGAAACAGTGGCACATATCTGCAAATATCGAAAGAATAAAGATTTTGGCAAGTTATACTCAAGCCCCGCACACATCGGTCAGCACTGGTGAGGGCAGAGACCCAGGCGCCTGGGGAGAGGCGGCAGCGGGATGAAGAGGAGGAGCAGGAAGGGGGAGGAGGAGGAGGAGGGAGGAGGCGGCAGTGGCGGCGGCGGTGGCGGCTGCTCCTGCTGGGCAGACGCGGGCTGAGCAGTCCATCTCAGCAGGGAAGGTTTGCCACTGGCAGCCTGGACCCCATCCCTCCTGTTCTCCCAGGCTGCCAGGAGCCAAGGGCACAGGAAGGGGACAAAGGACTGCAACTGCAGCGTGGGAGAAAGCACAGCCAGAGGGAGCAGGAAGAACTGGGCAAAGAGCCGCCGGAGAGGAATCGCCGCCCGGCAGCTCCACAGTCAGCACCTGTCCCCTGGGCCCCTCCTGGGCTCCACAGCCCGGACCACCACAGCCCTCTGCCCCTTTAGCCCAGGGAGGAGGAAGGTGATGGAACCGCTGCCACCGGGTCCCCAGACAGAAGAGCCGGCTGGGGGGAGTGGGGTGCAGCCCACCCCAGCCAGGTTGGTGAACTAAGAGGCCCCCAACCACCAGAGGACCCCTGGGAGCCCAGAGGGGCACCTCCCCCCCCCCCGAATGGGATGGGGGCAAGAGTGGCAACAAAATGAGTACATGAAGTCATGGGAGAAGACTGGGGATGTCACAACCATGTCCAGCAGGGGAGGGGGCCACCAGCCACAGAGCAGGCAGGACACAAGGGGCTCACCCTCGAGCAGGTGTGACTCTGCTGGGGAGGATGATGAGGGAGAAGAGGGGTGGCCCCAACAGTGATGATGAAAGGGGGAGGTCCCAAGATACACCTACAGAGACAGACATGTCTCAAGGCCGCCTCAGGGACACTGGTGCAAGTGAGGTCACCATGGAAACAATGGAAAGGGAAAATAAAGTCACCACTGTGACGATGGAGAGGATGGAAGGGCCCAGAGGGAAGGCCGTGCCAGGAGCTCGCAGCAGCAGGGATGGCAGGGAGGACAGCACAGTTGAGGCAGGCAGCAGAGGGCACAGGGTGGCAGGAGCACACAGGCGCCAAGGCAAGGAGGCCATGGGCTGGCACGGGCAGGCGGAACGGGTAGGGGGACAGAGGAAGACAGGATGCCCTGGGGCTGTCACAGAACCAGCCAGCAGGGGCAGGAGGGGAGGTTAAGAATGGAAGTGAGGCAGCAGATGACTGAGGTACGATGTCAGGGGGCAGGGCGACGAATGGCCACCGTGAGCACAGGCACCCGGGGCCCTGCAGCACTGGCGGCAGCAACAGGTGTGGGCACAAGCAGGCAGCCACCAAGGCTCTGTGCATCTCCGTGGGTGTGAAGAGACACAAGCAGCCGCAAGTCTCGGCGGGGCCAGGGCGGGAAAGGGTGGTGCACAGCAGAGCTGTCAGCACAGAGGGTCATCAGCACAGGGGGGTGAGGGGTAGCCGAAGGGAAGGGCGCGGATGGCCAGGGCAGGCAGCCAGGCAGGGCACAGGCAGGTGAATGAGTGAGGCTTGGGAGCGCTGCTCTATCTGGGCGGGTCCTGAAAGTCTGGCCTGGCTGGCTGGATGCAGGCCCAGGCTGGCGCCAAGCCCTGGCTCTCAGAAAGAGGCGCATGGAGTGGGAGTGACGCGGAGGGACAGTGCTCTCGTGACAGTCCACACGGGTGCTCACCCACCTGTCTGGCCCAACTCCTGGAAGAGTTCAGCCAAAGCCCGGCTGGAGGGCCAGAGTGTGGGGTGGGCCCGTGTGTCAGAGATGGGAGTGGAGAGTCAGCAGGCCGGGGGCCTAGGCGCTGAGGGGCTGCCCCGCAGGGCAGGCACACCAGGCCCCAGGGGGTGTGGGGCTTTATGGGGAGAGACAGGACAAACCTGAGAGGGAGGAACGAGGCAGCGTGGTGGAGCCCAGGAAAAGATGGCTAAGCCTTTGTTAAACCAATCACAGCGGTGGGTGGGAAGCATGATTGTCCCCTCGGCAGTGGGGTAACGGAAAAAGAGCCAGAAGGCGGACTGGGAGGCCTGGGCTCTGACTCTAGCTCGGCCAGCTAACCCTCTGTGTCGCCTTGGGCAAACAGCCTTCCGGCCTCCGGTTCATTAGCTGTTGAATCAAAGGGGGTCACGGGAGTTAGGCCAGACGAGTCCCGAGATCCCTTCAAGCTGACAAGGAAACCCTAGGGGGCCTAGGAGAGAGGGAGACTGAGGGGAAGATCTGTAGGGGACACAGGGAGGGCAGCGATGGGAAGCCCCTTGAGGGCTCAGAGTAACAGTCTGGAAGGTACTGGGGGGGCCAGTAAGGAGCTCTAGCAGCCATGTGTGTCTCTGTGTGAGAGAGAGAGGCTGCAGGTGGCGTCTTCCTGACTTGGGGCTGCCCGAGCTCGGTGCTGGCCCTGCCCCCTCAGTGCAGCGGCTGGGCAGGGGGAGGCGGGCAGGTCACGTACCGTGAAGATGTTGGAGCGCCGCTTGGACTGCTTGCGGATGGGAGTGGGGGTGGAGGAGGCAGCGATGGTCTCGATGCGCAGCTCCCGCTGGCTGATGCTGGGGGTGGAGGGGACTGAGGACGAGTAGTCGCTGAAGGCGCTGCTGCCGCCATTCGTGGCCTAAGGACAGAGAGGGCTGCTGAGGGCAGCTCGGGGATGGGCAGTGGGGGTGGGCACCTGGCAGTGTCAGGAGTCCCTGCAGTAAAAGGGACCTGGCCTGGGGATCCCAGGGCAGCAGAGGGAGCTCTCAAATGCAGTATTGGGGGAAAAGTTAGCAAGGCCTGGAGGCCAGCAGGATCCAGTTGTCACTGCACCCAGGCTGCCCCACTAGGGCGTCGAGCCTTTGTCCTGGGGGCCCAGGGAGCGAAAGCAGAGGTGCAGGCTCGCAGGCTGAAACCAGTGACAAAGCCTGACAGTGAACAAACTGTGAAGTCCTAGCTCACAAGTGGTCTGGATCAAGGTAGCAGGATGCCCTGGATGAACCCTTCAAAGCCAGCGGTGCATGTAAAGGGTGTAGGAGGCCAGGAGGAGGGGGCCGTGGGCTGGGGGCTCAGGGTGCTGGCGGAGGCTGAGGTTTGCTTCTAGCATGTGTGTGGCATGGGAAGGGACTCAGACAGGCAGAGAGCAGAACAGAACTAAGACTGCCAGTCAGAGTAAGCTGCTGATACGGAACAGAGAAAGGAGGACAAGACAAAAGATCACAGGATGGAGACAGCAGGTGCACGCAGGGCCTCCTCCAGGACTCGGGGTCACACACAGAAAACCAGGCAGCCTGCTTCCCTAGCTGCCCTCGCTAGAGCATATGGCCTGACTGGTCGCCCCTCGGGCCCTAACCTGTTCAAAAGGCATCAGTGCACCAACCACCACCTCCCAGCAGCCCACAGCTTGGGATGGGGCCCACTGCAGAGCTGGGCTGCACGAGGCCTGAGCTCTCAGACAGTGACGAAAGACCTATTGTTCCTCTTCCTCGTTCCCATGTGGGGCACTGACAGGGAATCCCTGCTGGCTTCTCACAAGCTCTACAGGGAGGGGTCTCTGAGAAGCAACCAGGCCGTGATGGGAAAGCTGGCTGTGGCCAGGGCAGGCCTTGGAGAGACAGTGGCCCTTGGCAGAAGGAAAGCACAGAAGCTGTTGGCCTGATGGCTCCCTCGAGCCCACCTGGATGGCCTGGGGATTCCAGCAGAGGGCAGTGGAGTGGGGGGTACAGCTTGGGAACCAAGTGAGCATCCGTGGGCCAAGGGCCAAAAACTAAGCCAGCAACAGGCGCAGATGTGGACAGGTATCCAGGGGTATCATTGGAGAAGTGCTCACAGGACCTGGCTCTGAACACCTAGCCCTCCCAGGCCCCAACACCCCACAGGGCTCCAAGAGCCATTCATCCCTTGGGGCAAGCACTGCCCTGGAAACACGAACACTCCAGAGGGTTGAGGGCAGCCCCCAGTGCTCAGTGAGCACCAGGCTGTCGTCTCCACTCCCAGTCTTGCCAAGGGCCAGTGCTGAGCAGGCCCAAGAGAACTTTCTCTCCTCTCTGTGCCCGGCAATACAGTTCTTACGGGCAGTAGTTTATGAGACAAGTCTAACAGTGCTAATGCGAGGGGCTGGCCGGTTAGCTCAGCTGGTTAGAGCGCAGTGTTATAACGCCAAGGTCAAGGATTTGGATCCCCACACTGGCCAGCACCAAAAAATAACAACAAAAAACGACGAGAGCAAATGTTGGTGCTGTCTTAGCTAAAGTGGTTGGGGGGTGAGACCAATGGGAGCAGGGGGTGGAGACCATAGCGGGGTCGGGCAGTCACCACAGGCACAGATGAGGCAAGGCTGACGGTGCAGGCTGAACAGAATTCAAGCCAATGTCTTTGAACCACGTGCAAGGCTGGGAGGCCAGAGGGAGGCGGGGCAGGTGTGACGAGGACACACAGAGACACACAGGAGTGGTGAGGTGGGTGGCGAGAGGCTGGCCGCACCTGATTGATGTGCACGGCTGGGATGGAGGAGGCGGACACTGCCGAGTGGCTGGGCGAGTTGGGCAGGGACTTGCAGGGCCCGATGGCCAGTTGCTGCTTCTTCCGCAAGGCCACTACCTTCTGGGCCACTGCAGAGGACAGCAGAGTCAATTATACTCGCTGAGGAGAGGGGAAAAGCCCAGCTCAGCACCCCCACAAAACCCATGGCCCTGTTGGCCAGGGAGCTCTCCTACCCCTGTTCTGGGGGCCCACAAGCGACTCCCACCCAGTACCCAAGTTACCGTCCTGGAAGACACGCTCCACATTGAGCCCGTAGGTGGCACACGTCTCATAGTAGGTGCAGCGCTTCAGGTCTGTAGAGAGCTTACGGGCCCTGCTGTCGTCGATGACCCGGGGATTGGCGGCACTGATGGCATCTGTTGGAGGTGGGAGGGCAGGATTCGCTCAGCTTGCGGGGAAGCTGGGCAGTGCAGGGAGAAGGCAAAGGGCCAGGCACGGGCAACACCCAGAGCACCAAGAACACAGGTGTCTGGGCCTCATTTCAACCCTGCCACCACCTCACTGAGTGGAAACCAGCCACCACTTAACCTTTGAGTCTCTGCTTACTCATCTCAAAACCTGTGGACACGACAGTCACACGGGTTATAGGATTCACCTGGGAAAGAGCAAGGACGAGGCCCTCAGCTACGCGCAGCTCAGGAGGGCTGAGGGTCTGGTGACCTCTGGGCAGGGAGCGGGGGCTCAGGGGCATTCTCATACCTGCCCACCCACGCCCCTGCCATCTCCTGCGAGCCTGCCTCACCCTGAGTGCCCACCAGCACCATGGGCACCTCGCTGGCATTGCGGAAGCTGCAGAGCCGCAGGAAGTAGTTGTACACTGTCTGGAAGCTGATTTCATCCTCCAGGCTGAACACAAACACCACTGCATCCACCCAGGCAGCGAACTAGGGGAGACCAAGCAGAATTAGCACCCTCACCTGGGCCCTGGCAAACTCCTGCAGGGGCAGGCAGAGCCAGGTGGACCCTCTCCCCAGACATGCAAACGTGGCCCAGTCCTGACTGGCAAGCTGGAGAAAGGGGTGCCAGGCACAGGGGTGGGCCCGGCCCAGGGCAGGAGCATCACCTGGAGCTCGGGGGGGCCTCCTTCATCTCGGATCAGTAGCAGGTAACTCTGGCCGTCCACCACAATCTCCTTCTTAAACCGCCCCCCTAAGACAGAGGGCGTGGTCAGGGCCAGAACGTGGAGAAAGACCCCGGGGGGGCCGAGCAGAGAAGACACCTACAGTTTCCAATGGAGGAGATGAGGGGACTGGGAAGGAGAAGGGACTGGAGGCTGTCACCAAGACACCGTGGGGAGGGCGGGGCAGAGTGGCCGGCCTCTGAGCCCAGGCTGGGCCTGTGACACTCACCTTCAGGAGACTCCTCCTGGACATAGGTCCCTGTCAGATAGCGGTGCACCAGGGCCGACTTCCCACTAGACAAGTTCCCCACTATGCCCTGTGGGACAGGAGGGGCAAGAGCGGCTGTCAGAGGACATGACGGAGACTGGGCAGGAAAGGCAAAAACGTGTCAGGAAGGAGAAAGGCCAAGGCTGAAGGGACAGGAAAGAGAAAACTCGGGCAGGTAGGGGAAGAGGACCAGAAGCAGCAAGAGGCCGTGGGAACGGAAGCCGGGAAGCAGCGCTCAGACCATGACTCCAAACCTTGCCCACCCAGTCCAGCCACTGGGGCCTCCCGCGGGCCTCACTCACCACTTTAAGCTCCGGCACGGAGCGGCTCAGGGTCCACTCCTGGCTATTCACAAATGAGTCTGTGGAAGACAGAGCCACCCCGTGAGGGTCACAGTGGCACACATACCTGTCCTTACCACCCTGCTAGTGTCACCTATGATGCCCCTCCCTAGGCCAGAGGACGACACCATCCCTGATGGGACCCCGACCCTCAGCCCTAGATCCCTAGGGAGCAGCGGGAAGTTTCTTTCTTAGCAGAACAGAGTGAGGACAGTCTTCAGGATAGGACTCTGAGGCCTGTGAGCTCAACACCCCTGACCTTTGACCAGTGTCCCTTCTCCTTTTACTGCTCCAGGAGGTCAGTCAGTCTCCACCTTGAGCCACACCCGGCCTATTGCATCTGGGGCCCAGACACCAGGCCCAGGTTAGAGGCCACTCCAGTCGGTCTCAGACCAGACTCAAAATGGGCTGGGCACCTGAGGGGAGCAGGGCCAGCCTCCTGCAAGTAGGAACAGCTCACCCCTGGCAGGGTGGGGCCACCCACCACATTCCTGAGCTAGGGTGAAGGGGGAGGAGCCTCACCTGGCCCTGTTCAGTGAGGGGAGGTCCCCTGCGGGGCCGTCTCCTGCAACCCCAAGCTCCTCCCCTTCTCCTCCCAGAGACCCGCCTCCTGCTCGCTCGCTTCAGTCCACGCTCAGCACCGCGGGCAGCTACGCCTGACTCAGGCAGTGTTCCAGGAAAGGGACGCCTCAGCTCCCCAGAGCCCTCCGACCCCAGCCCCCATCTAGTTTCTCCTCCAGGTTTCCACGTATACCCTCGGGCCAGCCTCACTGGCAGGGCAGCGCTTGCCTCCCCTCCTCGGCTCCCAGAGACACTGTCTCCAGGTTGTTTCAAAGCGTGGTTATCACGACCAGGTCCACAAGCAGTGTCCCTAACTCATCTGCAGGGGCAGCTAGAGCTGAGAGCTCGGCCCCGCCTGGGAGCCGGGAAACCGTCTAGTCCAGCCTAGAACCAGCTGACTCCGGTAAGTCTCCTTCCTTCCTGGACCGCAAAGCTGCATCTGCCGATAGGAGGAGGACCCGATTCGAACCCGGGCCCTTCCTGGGCTCCTATTCTAGGAGGCTCTGGGCAGTGCTCTCGCCTGCACGGGCCTGGAACCCTCCTCTGCCACTGCCTCCTCCTCTGGACACTGCCGACAAGCCCCAACACTGGCTGGGCGCTCATGGCACGTGGCGGCCCCAGCCAGCCCCAGCCAGTGTCCCCCCCGGCCCGCAGGCACAGCGGCCTCTTCCTGGTAGGTTCCCGACGGCTTCTCACACAGCTCTCGGGTTTCTGCTAGAGCCCGACCAGAGGCCACCCAGGC